ATGGGCTCAGGGCTCAAAGCCCAAAATATGACTGGGATCAGGGCTCAGAGGAAAGGGCTCAGGGCTCAGAAGAATGGGATCATGGATCACAAGGCTTTTGAGCCCGAATCAGGGATCAGATTTATTACACGGTATAAAAATCTCTTATCACAATATTTTCCGCTTAATAAGGTTTGTGTCCACAGTATTTCCTGGCCGAGGTTCATTATCTATTCTTGCTTCCGGCTGGCGGCAGTTCCTGTCATATGAAGTCCTAGTCTCCCTCGCAGCCGTTTTTAGTATCGTCACGCAACGCTCCTCCCCACAAAGGGAGAGTGGGGAGGAGCGTTGCGTGACGATACTAAAAACGGCTGCGAGGGAGACTAGGACTTCATATGACAGGAACTGCCGCCAGCCGGAAGCAAGAATAGATAATGAACCTCGGCCAGGAAATACTGTGGACACAAACCTTATTAAGCGGAAAATATTGTGATAAGAGATTTTTATACCGTGTAATAAATCTGATCCCTGATTCGGGCTCAAAAGCCTTGTGATCCATGATCCCATTCTTCTGAGCCCTGAGCCCTTTCCTCTGAGCCCTGATCCCAGTCATATTTTGGGCTTTGAGCCCTGAGCCCATATACCATGTTACGACCCTGTCATTTTGCCTCAAATTTTGGCTGTTTTCAAGTCGCCGACCACGAAAATTGATTTTGTTGATTTTCTCCAAATCCAAGAGGCCTTTTGAAAAACAAACTACACCACGTTTAGTTACTTACTAATAAGTATGTATGGACAAGAAATGAGCGAAATTTAATTTTTGACCGTGGCCGCCGGTTGCTCGATTTTTACAGACATTCGCTCTTAATTTCGCTGGTCTTTGTAGTTAATCGCGAAATTAAAGACCCGTGAAAATAAATCCTCGCGAAATTTAATATCCATATAGAAAATTCAAATAACAATTTTGAAACATGAAATAGCAACGATATGTATTGTCAAACACAAATTGCTAAGTGGTTTTACTGGTAAGCTCCATTTTGCATCTCCGGTTGTGAAATAACAGTAGTTTGCAAAGATTTCACACATTGATTGTTCCAGTTTATCAAAATTTTTTAAAGGTTCAGACTTTTTAAAAAAAGACAATGAAGTTGAGAACCCTTGAATCGCGAAATTTAATACCCTTTTTTCATATTTACCTGTACATGTTAAGATCGCTAAGTAAAACCCCGCGAAATTAAGTATATAAAAGGGTAAGGGGTTGGACCTCGGGGCGAATCCTCCTCGTATAAAACTTTGTTGAGCACCCCGGGCATGTAGCTAGAGCTTATTAGATATCACTAAAGACTATCGAGCCTAATTTACTCCAAGCACTAGTTATCATAATTATACAAAATGATACTCCAAACGGTGTACAGGAAGAAAAATGTATTCATTATGTATATTCATTACTTACAACTTAAGTGGTTTACTATTTAATGTATTCATGTCACTGTAAATAGTGTCTGAAAACCCTTCTGAGGATGATTCTATTAAAGTTCTATTCTACTCTGTGATGAAATAATGGATTATAGTTATAATGCTGAATTAGCGCTAATCGGACTTTCAGGAACCAAGTCATGATTTGAGGCACGATTTTAAAATCAGTCGGGACAAAGTTTAATTCTTCAAGAAATTTTTTGACATTGGATTATCTCTAGTGATATTTTTTGAATTCGCGCAGGATTTTACTAAACTCCTTTCGGAAGGATAAGGAAATGACTTACTTTACAAAAATTCGATGGCGTGAGTTCACCCTAACTTGTTATACATTTGGTCTAAACGCAAGAGGACTTTGTTTGAATGGGTTATATCAGTCTTATCCCGGTACAAACATCAGAAAAATAAGAAAAAAAAAGAATGTCACTATGTCACGGCACTGGTCGCCCATGTGAAAATGTTAATTTGTAATTCAGTATGTTTAGAGGGGAGGATAACCATAATGAGACATTATCCTCTCTTGGTATGTTAGCTATTCGAGGCAACTGCAAGACCAAAAACATCTTATATCTATGCTGAAAAAGACATCGGAGAGAAACTCAATTCAGAAAGGGCGAGATCACGTCGCAAGCACGTTACTATAAGGGCTATGTGAGGTAAAGGGGTAGGGGATAAGGAGGAAGGGAAAAAGGGAGTGGGATTCCCGTGCTACCGTTAAAGCCTGGTTATCAACGCCGCCGATGCATCTGCGACATGGTCGCCGGTACTGCAACTGTTCCAATATGAGAACAGAAGTAGCCGGCAACATCGGTCATCCCAGTCTTTACCTCCGGCATGCCTGCGATACAGCGAAGTTGACTCGAGTGCAACTCCGCAGGCATGCCGGCGGTAAAGCTCTGCGATGACTGTAGTAGCCGGCGGCGCTTGTTCTCATTCGTCCGAGAAGTAGGCAAAAAGTAGCTCAGGCGGTATCGGCGGCTACATCGCAGATACGGCATATGAGAACCAGGCTTAAGAGCCGATTACCCTGCTCCCGTTGTCTCCGCGAGGGGAGGGTACGGCTACAGGAACGGGCTACATGGATTTGTTGTGATTTGATACTCGATGGATACCCTGTTCCCAGAAGTTTCGTTCTTCTTTCTCGTAAAACAACCCGTGTCGTCGGTGCAGCTTCGCTTGAAAATTTCGATAATGGGCCCGAAGATAGAGGGCTTTAAAGGGCGTATAGATTTGATTTTGGTCTTCGAGTGCAGTATCAGGGATTTGAAAAAGTTCAGTCTAAGCCCCATCAAAACTTTCGAAAAATCTCCGGCCGGAATTACACTGAGGCACTTATGCACATCAAAGTCGAAGTTCGCACGCATGATTGAAATTCAAATAATATGTATTTGCTTTTCTGGTAATCTTGTTTGTGATTGTTTGGGTTTGAAATAAGTTGATAAATTGGGAACAGGATTTCTTTGTCTTGAGTTCAAAGCTGTCCGGAAGGCGAAAACTTGCGATAATGGTTAAACCGGCTCAATCAGAAAGCGTCAAGGACGTGCTAAATGTTCCACATCGTGGATCCTTTGGAACTTGGAACATTATAATTAAACTAAGTGTTCGAAAGTATAGTCTCTACTTCAGTAACCTCAGAAATCACGTAGCAGTTCATTCAATCGTAACAAAACAGCTGCCCGCTTTCAAGTCTGTGTTCATCCTGTTTTCTAGTCATGGGGTCTTGAGGAATCCGCAATGATTCAAGACCGTCCCGTTCTCTTTTCAGTTATTTACACTCTAATAATGAACAATCAGTTAACAGTCTTTTAACACGTAGTCATACTAGTTAGATGGTTTTAAAAACAACTCATATTCTTTTACGATCCATCTTTTACCACCTCGCACAGCGAGAGTTGCTTTTATAACAAGGTTGGCATTGCTGAGGTTAATTCTCAACACAGTGTCAACAGCCTTAACAACGATAAATTGAGCACTCTAACGATAAAGATGCTTTCTTTGAAACCGAAAGTGCTACTCTTTCATAAAATCACTGAACTAGACATGATTTATCGTTTGGTATATAGTTTCAAATAACTAAAACAAAGAAGATTTCAATTTTTCTCTGCTTTGGGCCAATATAAACAGAGGGCATGGGGTATCCAGTCTATGACTTCGCGAATTCTTGCGGAAATCAATTAAGCGGTCAACAATACTTAAGGCAAATTTAATAGAATGCCATACATTCATCTCTTTATTCAGACACCAATTGTGTATGCAGATTTTAAGCAGGTTGATAATTTTGGACATCGTGCGTTGCTTGACCTCAGCTGTTTAACGCGTAAGGCATTTTTACATAATAATTGATAGCCAACTGTGGATGTTTACAAATCACTTTTGGAAAAGGAAGGAGTTGGAATCTTCTATTTGTCTGCTGTTTTTGTCATCGTTTGTTTTGTAGGTTTTGCTAAGTAACTTGTCCCATTTGAAGCGATTCGACTGTGACG